GATATCTAATTTAAAGCTCATTGGCTTCACTCTCCTCACTGTCCAACAGTCTTTCATTCAAGGAACTTGGAGAGAGAGTAGAGGAAATATGGTCCACTGTTATTGTACCTCCTTCCCCTCCTTCCCTGTAAAGAGAAGATTTACAGGGCAGGAGGCAAATGTCTTCTTAGTAGTGTTTTCTCTGTTGATTGTTGTTACTTCTCTGACAAAAAAAAATAATAATTACAAAGTATATTTCCAAGGCCACTGTGATGTGATTTATATATACATATATATATATATATATAAAATCAAAAAGTATGTGGAAAGTGCATATTATGAGAAAAAACATGCATGGATTTCAATATTTTTTTTGCACTAAAACAAACTCATACATCAGTTCCATTTCCCCATGAACTTTTTGAAGTCCCCTCATGTGTGGGAGGATATATGTATACATATATGTAAATTCATATTGAGTTTATTTAATCCCCTCAACCCAATGACATAGGTAGTTTATTATCTCTACAGAAGGAAACTGAAGTTCAGAGAGTTGCCTAAGCTCATATAACTAATAAATTAATGGCTGGGCCAGTGTTGAAACCCAGCAGGTATAGCAACAGGATTTTCATTTCTGGCTGGATAACTAATGCCTGTGTTGCAGGCAACTGAACATTCACCCTTTCCTAGGACACACGTGTTCTTTGGTGCATCTTCAGAGGCTCCACATTGTATGGTGCCCTGATAGGGGAGATTCCATACCAGTTCAGCCTTTCATAACCCCCAGCATTTACCTCAATCCCTAATGGCATATCCTAATTTCTTATTATTGGAGTTCTTTGTCTAGTGGCCAATCCTCTTGACAACTTACAACCTTCCATAGTGTCCACTTGATTTATTAGGTTGTCAGAAAAGTCATGGAGGGAACCAGCAGTTAGCGTAATGGCTATGTCGCTGGACTCCCACGTAGTCGACCGCGGTTCGTGTCCCGGACCCGGTGGCTTAAAACTCACGCCGGGCGCGTGTGCGTGCGTGCCCAAGATCCCGAGAGGAGAATGGAGGAGAAGGGATTGCGGCGTGACCATTCCCCCTGGGGGGGGATTTCTCGCTTTCTGTCTCTATGTCTCTCTCTGTCTGTCTGGCGAGCGCATGCGCCCTACAGTGAAAATCTCTCCAAAAAAAAAAAAAAAAGAAAAGTCATGGAGTATTTTTTCTGTTTTTCTATGCAAAAATATGTCATGACTTTTCCAACATCCCAATATATGTCCCTGCTATCTAAGTGGTGGGGAGGTCCAGCACTGGAACACTTTTATATTTTGATATTTTCTAAAAATATACATTCTGATATTTTTATAAAGTGATACTGAGACAAACAAAGATTTTCCTTAACTTTGCATCCTAGTCTTTAATTCTCAGACCATTGAAAGGAGCTTTATTAGATACTGTATATTTATATACACTTATGTCATTCAAGGATGAGGAGACCTAGGGAGACAGTTCATTTCCTTTTATCCTATTTTTCCCGAGATGTCCTCCCATCTTTATTTGAAGGCTGAAAAGCAAAGCTATTTGCCTTATTAGAAGACTTACTTTATCAGAACAAAGAATGGGAAGATTGTGCCACCTGGATGTTACAAGAAAAAAATGTCCAGTGTGTGAGTGTGTGTGAGAGAGAATATATGTACTTACATTTTTTCTATAATAATTTACTTTAGTTATTGAGAGGATGCCAACTACTGGTTGAAATAAATAAATATTTCAACTACTGGTTGAAATAAATAAGTGAATCTATTCTCTGAGCAGTTAGGATGAAAATACCAGCATTTTGATGGGATGAATACATGTATTTATAGTAGACTAAATCACCTAAAAATCAATTCATCAAAAATCAATATGCCTAAATTTACTTCACTTAATTTCAGTTACTCTGGTGACTATTTCTGACTTTGTACTGTTAATACTTACTTTATTACATATTGTGAATAAAATTGTTATATATAGTGATTTTTTCAATTTTACTTAGATTTGAACACTTGCAGTGTTTTTAACTAATTTGCCAAAACTTGACTATTTACTTATAGTTTTGTGTTTCTGCAAAAAAAAATTAGTACAATAATCTGTAGTCCATTAAAAAAAATCAGTCTTTTATTGTTCTTGCCTCCAAGATGCTTTTCTTTTTTTTTTTCTTTATTATTTAAGGTTTCTACTATAGGGTGTGTGAGCACACCAGAGAGAGACAATGAAAGGGAAAGTGAGGAATCACCCTCCAGGAAGAATGGCCATGTTGCTATCCCTTCTCCTCCATTCTCCCCCTGGAATTTGGGCACAAACACACACACATACATGCACAACATGATTTTCAAGCAGCCAGGTCTGGAATTTAAACCATAATCAGTCGCATGGGAGTTCAGTACCCTAACCACCACACCAATGCTTACCTTTTCTACAAGGGCCTACAAGCTCTGTATGTATGTGTGCATGTACATATGTAAGCATTAGTCAAAGTAGTGCACTCTCAGAGCCCATTTCTGTTCAATGAGGTAGGTATTAGTAAATATTTAGTGTTATAATAAAGTAAGAAAAATAAATGCTTTTGATCACTCTTTCATGTTATTTATCGAAATATCTAATTAATGCAGTTTTAGAGACCAGCAGATGGCATAATGGTTATGTCACTGGACTTCCACGTAGTTGATCATGGTTTGAGTTCTGGACCCAGTGACTTAAAACTCATGGCAGGCTCATGTGAGTGCATGCCCAAAATCCCAAGAGGAGAATAGAGGAAAAGAGACTGGCATGGCCATCCTCCCTGGAGGGTGATTTCTCACTTTCTGTCTCTCTGGTGAGTGCACATGCTCTACAGCAAAAACCTCTCTTTTAAAAAAAATGATTAATATAGTTATATGATGTATCATATCTATGATTTATAGTAAGAAACATACATTTTTAAAAAGGTTTCAAGAAACACTATTGGAATGTTAAGAAATTAATACAATATATTACTGTATATAACTTTCTTGCAATACTCTAATACCTGTTCATTCCTTATAGAAGTAAAGAGATTGATTTCTAAGCCACATTATGTCTATCAAATAAAAATTCCATAAAGACTCAAAAAAAAAATCATACACTCAAGGTTACAAAAACCTTGTGGTCACTAGCCCCAGCAAATTTAAAAGGCATTAAAAATAAAACTTGGGGACCAGCAGATGGCATAATAGTTACGTCACTGGACTCTTACTTAGTTGACTACCATTCAAGTCCTGGACTTGGTGGCTTAAAACTCACACCCAGCACATGTGCATGCACGCCCAAAAATCCCGAGAGGAGAATGGAGAAGGGACTGCAGCTTGGCCATCCCCCCAGGAGAGCAATTTCTTACTCTCTGTTTCTCTGTCTCTCTGGCAAGTGCACACACCCTATTGCAAAAATTGCCCCCCCCCCAAAAAAAACAAATAAAAAATTAAGTAAAATTCATAGTAATTTAAGGTTAATTTCTCAGAGGAATTCATTTTAGAATCCTCAAAATTACCAAAAGAATGATCCCTGAATGGATGGATCTAAAACCTTCAAAAGGAATTACATCTTAATATTAAAGAAAATTCTAATACAGCAAATTGTTTTTAGAAAATATGTGTATTTATTTTTACAATGACACTTGGAAAGACAGAACAAAAGTAAATTATAAAATGTCTGGTAAAGAGTACAAAGTTTTAAATTATCTGGGCAAAATGAAGATGTAATAATTCAGTAATGTTGGTCACATTACACCTTTCCAAGGGTGCTCATGCCTTAGGAGAGCGCATGAGTTGGGCTCTTTCTGTTGAGAATCACACAATTCACTAGAGAAGAGGTGCTGGCTCCTAGAGCCCAAGCTTTTATCTTTGTGGGCACAACCAAATGACATCATTTGCAAGTGCTCACTACAAAATGAAAATGTGAAATCCCCTGTTCAAATACAAAGAATCTATCTATGTATCTATCTATCTATCTATCTATCTATCTATCTATCTATCTATTTATTTATTTAGAGAGATTTTTGCTATAGGGTATATGCACTCCTCAGAGAGACAGAAAGCAAGAAATCACTCCCAGGAGGGATGGCCATGCCACAATCCCTTCTCCTTCATTCTTTTCTTGGGACTTTGGGCATGCACATGCACATGTGTTTTAAGCCTCTGTGTCCAGGATTTGAACCGTGATCAACTACATGGGAGTCCAGAGACATAACCATTATGCTATCTACTAGTCCCCAAACACAAAGGATGTTAATACCGTGACATCAGAACATTAAACTAAGCACAGGGACCATCTTCATGGCACAGCAATAATGTGCTGCTCAAGAGGAGATGGATTCCCCATGCCAACTGAGGTTCAAGTCTCCAGATAGTGGGCCTGAAACATGCTGGCTATACACATGAGTGCCCAAGATTGGAAGAGCTACAGATGTGTCGGAAGGGGATTATGGCAGGTCCAGACCCTGTGGAAGGTGCTTATCTCTCTCTCTCTCTTTCTCTGACATGCATACACATGTGCTCTACCATAAATAAAACAAAGTAAGCACTGGTTGCTTCCAGGTGCAGACCCTGTGTGAATGCTTTTATCACACATCCATGAAGGCAGCCAGGCCTGTGGGAATAACAGTTTTCCAACTTCTCTTCCATCTCTCCCTCCTGTGTCTTCTCTCTTAACCTCCACATCTTGGTTTCCTAATACAAAGTCACTTGGTAGCTAATGAAGGGAAATTGTTATCTGAGATACTGAGGTGTCTGATGAGGTCCATCTTTGACTCAGTTTGAAAAGACTAATTCTGGGGACAGAATTTTCTTAATCTCCTTCTCCAAATCTGCCTGTTAATGTAGTGTCTTGCCTTCTAGCAGAAGCAGAGAACTCCAGAAACTTAGAGATAGTGGTATCTATCAAAACTCTCTCCTCTAAACCAAGATATTAAAGTGTACTAACTTTCTTTTCTTTTCCCTTTTAATTTGACTTCCTGTGGGAACGCCCTCTCCTGTTAACAGAATGGAGGTAAGAAATGATTACTATACCAATGTTTCCTTCTCTTTTTAAAATTGACATGCATTTTTTGAATTTCTACTATGTTCTGAGATCTGTAATGTTTCAGTAACTTTCTAACTTTTAATCCTTTTAATACTCTTACAAGATGATGATGATAATGATCAAAATAAAAACAGAGAACATCTATTGAATACTTACTATTTATTTGGCACCGTATTCAGAGTTTTATATATGTTACTTAAACTTATCCTCAAACATGTCTATGAAATAGGTACCAGTATTATTTTCATTTTATATAAAAGATATTAAGAGTTTTTTGAAATGGAGAATTTAAGTGGTACATATAGCTCGTAGACAGTGGAGTTGAAAATGGAACCCAGAACTGATTCCTAAACTCTCCCTTACAGCTTTATCCTGTAGCTAAGAAAGTATTACCTTGTAGTATGACATTCTACAACTTAAAAATTTTAATATTTTAAACTTAAAATCTTTAGTGTTTTATTTACAGTTATTTATTAAGATTGACTTGCATAAAAAGTCTATGAAGTGTGTGACTATTTTTATCTATTATTATAAAGAACACATTAAGTTTCAGAATGATTAATCAGTAATACAATTGCAGCTAATTAGGACAGTACATTTATGAACCCAATTTTTCTCATTTTAACATTTTAGTGACTTAAGGAGCAAAAACTTTTTTTTAAGACTTTTTGTGATAGGGCATGTGTGCTTGCCAGGGAGAGAGACAGAGGCAGAGAGAAGAAAGTGAGAAATCACCCCCCCGCCCCTCACCTCCAGGTGGGATAACTATACCACAATTCCTTCTCCTCTTTTCTCCTCTCAGGATTTTGGGCACGCACATACATGCACCCAGCATGATTTTCAAGCCACTGAGTCTAGGATGGAACTGCGGTTGACCATGGAGAAGTCCAATACCTTAACCACCATACTACCTGCTGGTCCTGCAAAAAATATTATCCTCATTATTTTTATGTGAGGAACCAGATGCACCGAGAGTTGCTTGGATTATAGAGCTAGCAAACTACAAATCCTCAATCTGAGTTCAGATGAAGAGACTTAAGAACTAAGATCCATAACTACTGCACTATACTGCATTACCCAGGGGGCTCAGTAACTGAGCAGAATCCAAAACCCCAGTCTTTAATTAGAATTTCATGGAACAAAGTAATTATTTGCATAACAAAATTCGGTCTGTCAATCTTGTCCCAATTATATAGCGCTGATTCACTTGTTTGCCTGATGAATAGTTATTGACTTACTATGTGGCTATCACAGTTCTAAAAGTTGGGAGTACTGACCCTGAAAGACTTTATGATGAGATCTAATATCTACTGAAGGGATATGAAATGTAACATGGTGAAAGTGAAATGAGAATGTGGGCACCACGGAAGAGATACCCTCTTTCATTCACATGCTGTTTTGCATACCCATTTTCTCTGCTTTTTTTCTTTTTTTTTGGAGAGGTTTTTGCTATAGGGTACGTGCGCTCGCCAGACAGACAGAGAGAGACATAGAGACAGAAAGCGAGAAATCACCCCCCAGAAGAGATGGTCACGCCACAATCCCTTCTCCTCCATTCTCCTCTTGGGATCTTTGGCACGCACACACATGCGCCTGGCATGAGTTCTAAGCGACCGGGTCCGGGACGCGAACCGCAGTCGACTACATGGGAGTCCAACGACATAGCCATTACGCTAACTGCTGGTTCCCTTCTCTGCATTTTTTTAACCTCTCTTTCTATTCCTGGCACTATATTGAAATGTAGAGAAACAAAACAAATTTTACATATTCCTGACCCCAAAAGAATTTATATTTTATGAGAGAATGCCCTCAGGTATAAAGATTATTTAAAAGACAACATAATAATAGAAGGATATATAAATTCTAGGGGCTCAAAGGACAGGCATAGGTGACCCACATACAAGTAAATTCAGAAAGTTAAAAGTTTTTACTAGTAAAATAAATGCTAAATAAAGAATTTTATACCATTTTTCACTTGTAATTATGTAAGTACCTTGAAACCACTGGTAGAAAGAAAATTGTTACAATGTTTTTGAAAAATAATTGCACTAGCCTCATGGCCTGGTGGTTGAAAGAATCAGATTCAACCTGACACTGCACAGTTTGAACCTCAGCCTTGAAGATGACACAGGGTACACAGGGTATAGACATGCCCACAATCCTGGCAAGGAATGGTAGCATGGCTATGCCTCATTGAGGTGGTTTTTCTCTGTCTCTCTAACTCCCTCTGAGGAGGACACACACCCTGCTGCTACTACTACTAATAATTAATGGGCCAGGCAAATGTTCAAAATGCTAAGTAAAATGCAAAATATGGGACCAGCAGATGGTGTAGTGGTTATGTCACTAGACTCTCACATAGTCAGTTTGAGTCTTGGGACCCGGAGACTTAAAACTCATGCCAGGTATGTGTGCATGTATGCCCAAGATCCTGAGAAGAGAATGGAGAAAGGGACTGTGGCGTGGCCACCCCCCATGGGGGTGAGTTCTCGCTTTTTGTCTCCCTGGTTCTCTTTGTCTCCCCAGCGAGTGCACACACCCTATAGCAAAAGTCTCTCTCTTTAAAAAAAAAAAAATACAGAATACAAAAACATAGTTAAAGTATAATTCTGATTATATTTTATGTATATACTTATAATAAAGGATGTGTATACAAACACAAAAAATATAATATGTAAAGTGTGTGTGTGTGTATATATATATATATATATATATTTATATATAAACACATATGGATATTAATTTGAAGATTTTTTAAAAATTGGATTTTCTTTACACCGCACTTTATTTTATATAATAGATAATTAATTTTAGTCAGAAGAAACACAAGTTTTCCAGAAGAGATCACATTCTTGTTCAGGACATTGGGTTTGGGTTTGGCATTTCAGATAAAGGACATCTGATCTGCATCTTAGAGAGGGGTTGGCAAACAGTTTCTATAAAGGGCCAAATATATTATTGGGTTGCCAGAGAAGTCATGATACCTGGCATAGAAAAACAGAAAAAAATACATCATGACTTTTCCAACAACCCAATAAATACGATTGCTTTTTAGGCCATCCAACCCTTGTTGCCACTGTGCTACTCTGCTGCAGGAGCACAAAGGCAGCTACACACAATGCACAAGTAGGTGAACACAACTCTGTTCCAGTAAAGCGACTCTGAATACCAGAGTTCAAATTCTGAATCTTGGGACAAGCAGTTAGCGTAATGCTATGTCACTGAACTCCCATGTAGTCGACCGCAGTTCAAGTCCTGGACCCGGTGACTTAAAACTCAGGCCAGGCATGTGTGCGTGCATGCCCAAGATCCTGAGAAGAAAATGGAGGAAAAGGGATTGTAGCATGGCCATCCCCCCTGGGGGGTGATTTCTCGCTTTTTGTCTCTCTGTCTCTCTCTGTCTGTCTGGCAAGCACATACGCCCTATGACAAAAACCTCTATGTATGTATAGACACTATTCTTTGCTCACAGGCTATGTATTAAAGAAGGCAGTGCAATACAAAATTTCAGCTAGATAGTGGGAAATCTATTGTATAGTATGGTGACCATGAGAGTACAGTATATTCTTGAAAATTACTGTGTGAGTAGATTTTAAGTGTTTTCACACACACACACACACACACACAGATCAGTACGCTAGGTAATGCATATATTAGCTCAAGGTAGCCATTCTACAATGTATGCTACACGCCATGTTGTGCACCATAAATATATACATGTTTCTTTCAAATTTGCTAAAATACTTATTTATTTGTGCTGCTGTTTATTTTGTATATATAATTACAACTTAAACATAGAAATATTGATCTTCTCAATAATAGAAGTAATTTGGGGCTAGCCTGTGATGTAGTAATTAAGACAGCTAGATTCCACATGGCTGTCTGCAAGGATTGAATCCCAGACTCAGCAGTTTGAGAAACATCAGGCATGTGTGCATGCATGCCCAAAATCCTCAAAGAAAGGAGAAATGGAGGAGAAGGGATTACGACATGACCATTCCTCATGGAGAGGACTTTCTTACTTTTCCTCTCTCTTAACTCTGTTTCTTTCCATGAGCACATGTGCCCTCTGGCAAACTATAAGAAGAAAAGATTTAAGAAATGCCATGTGAATATATGTTTCACTCTGAAAAACAGAGGAAGTCATAATATATATTATATGAAAATTGAAAGTGGTTGAGTATCTGTGATAATGATTTGTCATATGTGACCATATTCTAATGCTTTAACATAGCATCAAAAATTCTTAGTTCATTTTTAATCTAGGTATTGCTTTAAGAATTTTTATTGACAATTTGTCTGGTGGGTTCTTTCGCTGATCCCTATCTTAGAGAATGAATCATATGTAGACACTCTGCATGAATGAAACTTTTCCCAGTGTGCTCTGGAGGTTGGAAGTGGTGGAGAACCTTGGTCGTGACCTTGGTTGAAAAAGTTCAAGGGGAGGATAAGGCAGTTACTACAGAAGGGAAGAAGATTTGTATATACCGGAGGACAGTTATCACTATCAACTGTGCCTCTGCTAGGGAAGGAGAAACAAAAAGTATGTAGTTTTAGGTAGAGTAATGAGAGTATCATAACTCCGATACGCCTTGGTGAATCATCTGGGTATGATGTTGGACAAAGAATTATGTGTTCAAAAGGAACAGCCATCTCTAGCATGGAAACTCCAAGATAACATTTTAAAATGCACCACTAAGTGTTATTCTACAGGGGGACAACAGATGGCGTAGTGGTTAGAGTGCTGAATCCCACATGGCTGACTTCACAGTTCAAGTGCTGAACCTGGAAGCTTGAAAAATATGTTAAGCACATGTGCATGTGTGCCCCAAATCCTGCAAGAATAGAGAAGGGATTATGGTGTGGCCATCCCTGGTGGAGTGAGGGGTGATTTCTCACTTTCCTTCTCTCTCTGCTCTTTTTGTCTCTATCAGAGAAAGTGTACACACCTTATAGCAACCGCCCCCCCCAAAAAAATTACTTATACATGTTAAGTAGAGAGAAATAGGAGTAAAAAGATGTACTGAGAATCCTTTCACTATTCCATTTGACTACAACACAAGTGGGAGTTTGAGATCAAATATGCATTGTTTCCTCTGAAAAAGGTACTTTATAGAAGGGGGGAGGGGGGTCAGCTAGGCTTAGTTTGTCAGGTGACAGGAAAGCAAATGTTTCACATACAATTTTAACTAGCATTTTCAGGAGATAGTCTGGCAGGTCATTCCAGAATAACCCACAGTCTGCAAACAGATTCCTGTGACCTCTGTCCCACTGTTTGAGCAACAGGACCAGCTGCTTTCAGTGTGACTCCATCAGCGTCCTAAGAACTACATGCAGAGTAATACAACTTCAGCTACATGGGGAGGGACCAGTTCTATCACAAAAGACAACAGAAGATACCATTGGAAGATCTTGGCATTAAAAAAAAAAAGAAAGAAAGAAAGAAAATCTTGGCATTCATTTTGTTCCCTAGTTCTTAATGTGAGCTCCTTCATAAAAATTTTTAAGTGATATATTTAAGAAATTGAGGGGCAAAATTTGGCACTGTGTATTGATTCAAAAATTTGATCACTGCTTAGAATTTGAAAATTTATAAGCCTCTGCAGAAGAAAAGGGAAAAAAGAAAAGCGAATGGTCAAAACACTGGAACTGTGAGTAAGCAATAGACAGGTAGACAGTAGATACATGAAAGATTTAAAGATTTAAAGACAGATGATAGATAGAAGATAATAGTTATATATCTATATTCCTGTATAAATTAATGCAAGCATAAATATGCTGCCAAACCAAGAAATGGTCCCAGGAACATCACAGGGGTGTAGAAAATTCATAATAACCATAAACTTTGTATTTGTATGTTTTTTTTCCAGGCTAGTGATCTTCAAGCTGTTAGAATAAACAAAATTAAAACCAAGATCTAATTTTTATTCAAAACCTTTTCTTTTTTTCATTTTTTCCTTTTGCATTATGTATGATGCTCAAAAACACATAAATAGTCAATACTCTGAAGCTATACTGAGGTTGTTCCAAAGATCTATTAGAGTTTTTATTAAAAGAAGCAGCAGAAATCCAGAGAAGGGGATGATCATTAATAATCTCTGAGGCTACTTTCATTCATTTTCCTTTTTTTTTTTTCATTTTTGTAGTTCTTAAATTTTTTAAAAAATGTGTTTTGCTTCTGTAATTAAAGGGAAAATTATGAACATATTTTATTTTAAAAAATACTCATGAGAAAATGAAAAACAGCATCAATCCATAGTTAACACATGATCGTGGAAACTGGATGAATAATTCTCAGTACAGAGAGACTGTGGGAAATTTAACTTTCATATGATGCATTTTTTTCTGTTAAATGAAAAGGGTCATACTTGTTCTTTTTCATCCTCCTTTTTAAATAAGATACTGCATTAATATGTAAGACCACTGAGTAAACCAGTTTGAGCTATTTATGGTTGGTAGTGAGTATTCAGTTTTTAAAGCACAGTATCCTTGCTTCTCCCTAATTTTCTTAGTGTCATCACAGACTGGGCTCTCTAAGAGGATAGGCCATAAACTATTTCTTTGGGTAATTTTTTTCACCTTTTCCTTGTACGACTTTTAACGTGAGTGTTATGTTTTCCTAGTCAAGGCCTTTATTTTTAAAACTCCCAATGAATGAAGTGATACAGTCAAAATCATATCGGCTAGTTAGCAAAGGCTAATAGTAATTAAAAGATGAACCTAGATTGTAAAACATTATTTTTCAGTATAGTTGGAAGCTCATTGTCTTACCTGAATATATTATATCTTATTCTAATAGATTTGCTTTAGTGACTTAGCCAGTGATGGTGTGTAATGTATCAGTTTTTAAAATTCAAATGAGGTCTCAACAATTTAAAAATTTCCCAGTAATTTTCTTTAAATCCCTTCTATAAATAAAATGAAATACTAAATTCCAACATTTGTACAACTCTAAATGAGACTATAACTTGAGAATTTTCTGTCATTATTAACAATATAAAGGCATCGGAATATACTGAGACCATCACAGTGCTTACACATAAGTGTCAATAAATATTTGTCCCATGAATATGAGTTATTACTATATTCTCAGCATTGCATTAAGAGACAAGTGGATGTGAAAAGAGCTCCAGCAGCAGTTTCCATTTTCCCATTTGCCTTCAGTTGTTATAGCAGATAAGCTATCCTATTTATTTATTTTTTGGGGGGGAGATGTTTTTGTTATAAGAGCACGTGCGCTCACCAGAAAGACAAAGAAAAACGGAAAGACAGAAAGAGAGAAATCATTCCCCAGGGGGGATGGCCATGCTGCAATCCCTTCTCCTCCATTCTCCTCTCGGGATTTTGGGCACACATATACACACCCCTGGCATGAGTGTAAGACACCAGGTCCGGGACTAGAACTGCGGTTGACTATATGGGAGTCCAGTGACATAGCCATTACACCAACTGCTGGTCCCACTTTTAATCTTATTTTTATACTAGCACTATAGAATTGACATGTAACACACAATTACCTGAGCTCAGAATCATAATACTCTACAGAGTAGTGCACAGGGCACTGCATGGTCGGTTGACTCTCCCAAAGACATGCAGTAAGAAAACAGTAAAGCTGAAGAGACTACTTAGCTGCTCTGAGAGTCACACCTTCCTCTCTGTACATGCCTTGCTTTTCTTTAACTGAGAGAATCTGAGTATGAAAGGTGGTGCAAAGATACCTGTGTTCTACAAAATTCATGTACTTCACTATCATAACACATAAATAAACTATATTCCTAAAGTTGCAAGCAGGACCAGCCGTTGGTGTGGTGGTTACGGCAGCTGTATCCCACATGGCTGACTGCATGTTTCAAGTTCTGGACTTAGCAGGTGTATGTGTGTACCTTCCAAAATCCTAAAAGGAGGGAGAAGTGGAGAAGAAGGGATTGAGCATAACCTTTCCCCATGTGGGATGCTTTCTCCCTTTTCTCCTCTTCTCCTCTGTCTCTCTCTATGGTCAGTGCATGTGTCCTCTGGCAAATAAATAAAAAAATAAATACAGGTGAAAGCATTTGGGATTAGAGCAATTATTATCATGCTCAGTCATGTGTTAACCATCATGATGAATATGTTCTCCAGAGGCATGTCTTTGTTTATATCATTTTATTTGCAAGAAGCCTGTGAGGTAGCTTAACTCAGAGTAGTCAAATCTATTTATAATGAAAATTAAATATATATATATATATATATAAATATTTAGTCCTTGATAGTTTCTAAAGCTTTCTACGTCTATTATCGCATTTGGTCTTCATAATAGCTCTGGAGTGGCTATAGATGATATAATTGCAGCTGGAAATGAAGACAATGTTCAGATGGAGCATTCCCAGCAATTTGTTAGTACAATTTCCCCCTATTTCTGTGATGCAGATGTGAAAACTGGAAAGAAAAAAGCAGACTGAATGCCAAGAATTAGCATGTGATTGGGAACCTTGTCCATTGCTTCTTTCAGTAAACCGCAGAAAGATAACAAAGGCTACTGCACCCAGTACAGAGGGGAGGTGTGTGATGCAGTCCTGGCAAAAGATGCTCTTGTTTTTTTCAACACCTCCTACGCGGACCCAGAGGAGGCCCAAGAGTTACTGGTCCACACTGCCTGGAATGAACTGAAAACAGTGAGCCCACTCTGCCGGCCGGCTGCTGAGGCTTTGCTGTGTAACCACATCTTCCAAGAGTGCAGCCCTGGAGTAGTACCTACTCCTACCCCTATTTGCAGGTAAAATTCCAGAAATAAGTAAATGGGAAAATTCCATCTTTCTGTCTGTAAACAGAGTTTCAAAAGAGGAAATTGTCATATATCATACTAAAGGCACAGCTGGCTTTCATCCAAAACAGGAGGTAAGGAATGAGACAAAATTCCTAGCATGTAAATCACTGAGGATACTTTATAATATAAGGGCTTTGAGCTTCTGGAAAATGTCATACAAGTATAATATTCTCACTCTTGTTATTCTCGTATTATTCTATTAGTCATGTACTATGTCTTTTCTTTTTATCAAACAAAAAGAGACATGCTAAACTAACAGGGACCTCACTAGGAAGCCAAGATAGAGAAAATAGAGTACACTTCAAGTGTTTTGGCTTTTTTTTTTTGTCAATAAATATGAGATTATGGATGAGCATTTCAAAACAAATGTTTTTAATTTACTTTTTGCCATAGGGTATGTGCACTCACCAGAGAGAGAGGCGGGGAAAGTAAAAAAATCCCCAGGGGAATGACTGCACTGCGATCCCTTCTCCTCCAGTCTCCTCTCAGGATTTTGGGCACTTGGAGTGATTTTCAAGCTACCAGGCTCAGTACTGAAACCACACAGCTGGTCATGTGGGACCTTAACCTCCATGTCACCTGGTGGCCCTCAAAATGTTATTTCAAAGTAACTATATTCCACCCGATAGTCTAAATATTGACACTTGTGCCTCATTTGGGTGGAAGAAGTAAGTTATAAATAAATATTTTATGTAGTCTTCATACTATTTAAACATGGAAATTCATAAATCCATGTTCCTCCTTTGCCTTTATTTTCTACTTAGGTAGAAAAGGCAGAAATCAATCTGACTTTGGAGTCAAATAGAACACATTTTAACTACCGTGTTTAATGCTTTTCAGATGTACGTGACCTTGGCTAAACTTAAGTTTCCTCATCTGCAAAATAGACTTGTCAGAATGAATTGTACCCATGGGATATGTTAGAACCAGACAGATGTAATTTTTCCTTCATTTTCCTTTGAAGAAAATACATAAAACTACCAACACAGTACATTTCAACCTTACTTTATAAAACCAGGACCAATATTAACATTGAAATAATTTTAGGGAACTCTAACATAAAGAGAATACCATAAAGCCAAGGCCATTGAGATAGACCTTTCTCCAAGTTACTGTAAAGTCTGAGACGCAGAGTAATATAATTTGCTTCTTCACCTAAGAAGGTTGTATTGTGATCAGGCGTGATATCTAAGTCTCTAGGGATTTTAGTGTTGCTGGGATAAAAAGCAGAAAAAGGAGGAGGAAATATTTATGCTATTACCAAAAAGTAAATGGGAAAAAGAGTGGGTGAGAGGAGGTAAAAACCTGTCTTGCTGGAAGTTAGGAAACACTGACTCCATTTCAGCTGTCCTTGCAGTTGTTTGAGTCTCCATTTAGTGTCTCTGCTGACTACCGTTTCTTTAACTGAGGTTTCTGTTTCTTGGGCTTCTTTATAGGATTCTCCAAACTTGTGTGTTTGAGGTACTGTTCAATAGTGAAAATCCTTTGAGGGACCAGCAAATGGCATAATGGTTATGTCGTTGGACTCCCATGTACTCAACCGTGGTTTGAGTCCCAGACCTGGCAGCTTAAAATTCACACCAAGCGCCTGTGTTTGTATGCCCAAAATCCTGAGAGGAGAAAGAAGGAGAAGGGATTGTGCATGACCATCCCCGTCTGGGGAGTGATTTCTCACTTTCTGTCTCTGTCTCTCTCTGTCTCTCTGGCAAGCGCATGCGGCCTACAACAAAAATCTCTCTCAAAAAAAAGAGAAAATAATGAAAATACTTGAATAGAAAGTAGCACAAGAATACTAAATAGAACATGGAATCAGCAAACGAAGTTGATAAGAGATTCTATCAGCCTGTACTTCAAATTAATGTAATTTGTGGTGACCACTGAACAGTTATCACACAAATACAGTGATACTCAGGCAAATCAGCTTAACACTATGGACAGATGATTGTGAGGAATAATAAATTACAAATATGTTTCTTTCTTTTTTTCTGGTTTTTTTTTTTTTTTTTTTGAGAGGTTTTTCGCTATAGGGCATGTGCGCTCGCCAGACAGAGAGAGACATAGAGACAGAAAGCAAGAAATCACCCCCCAGGGAGGATGGTCACACTGCAATCCCTTCTCCTCCATTCTCCTCTCGGGATCTTGGGCACGCACGCACACGTGCCCAGTGTGAGTTTTAAGCCACCGGGTCCGGGATGCGAACCACAGTCGATTATGTGGGAGTCCAGCGACATAGCCATTACGCTAACTGCTGGTTCCTAAATATGTTTCTTTTTTGTGATAGTTGTGATTTGCTGATTACAAAATCTACATAAATTACAAGATGAGAATCTGAAGTGTGCCCATTAACTTTTAAGTTTTTTAAAAATATGTTTTCTATTTATAGCCTTTACTCATTTTTCAACTAGATTATTCATTCATTTCTAGTAAAATTACAAGATTATGATCATGAAAGATTTACTTACTATATATTTTGAGCTGTTTCAGAAGCACATTTACACAAGCTATAGGATATGCATACATTTTATTTCCTTAGAGCACTGGTTAAGGTAGGCTGGAATATTCTGTTTTCAGAAAAAAAAATACTGTTCTATTTTGAGATCTGTGAGCTTCCTCCAAGTTTCAGTTTTTAATGATACGATATTTTAACACAAATCATTTAAAAATTGTCTCTTGCGGCCCAGAGTAGGAACATAGTCTAAAACAATGGTTTCCTATAACTCTTATTGAATAGTCTTATAATGTTGGTTTCACCTCTTTGGGTCTTTATTTCTTCCAGTTACTATGCTGTTCGTAGTAACCAACTTTTCAGTCTTTTTATTTCCTTCCGATTTTTTTTTTTTCTTTTGAAAAACTCTGCTATGGAAGGCATGCTTTAAGTATGAAAATTAAAGCAAAATAAGCTAAAAGAATTCTCTAATGTGTTCTTTCACTTTCAACTACAAAATAATCTCCCAGGTACTTGCTTCCCCCACATAAAGTAGACTACAGAATTCTTTTCCTATGTCCTATGTTGATTTTTGCACAGTTTAACCATGTTGACTACAAAAAGATGTGCTTGCACAACCCAAGGATGGAACCCAGGCATAAGAAAAGCCAAACTAGGTAAAACTCTTTAGGTTCTTCAGCTTCTCAGAAGTCTGGAAAGCCCATTAAACCCTTCCTCTGCAAACATACCGAAAGTTCAAAAACCCATTGTACCCACAACCTCCAATGTATCCCATCACCTTCATGTGCACAGCCCTATCACTCTGAACATGCTCCATTTGCTCATATTGGTGAGCTAGGAATGCAGGAGTATGGGCACAAGTATTTAAAAAAATACCCTTGTTGGGCCAGCTGGTAGCATGGTGATTAAGGGAGCTGGATGCCACATGGCCAACAGCACAGTTTGAGTCCCAGACCTGGTGGCTTGAAAAAAAGCATGCCTGTTGTGTGCATGCCCAAAATCTCAAAAGGAGAAATGGAGAAGGGATTGCAGCATGACCGTGCCCCATGAGGGGTGCGTTCTCACTTAATTTCACTCTCTCTTTCTCTGTCTCTAATGAACACACACATCCTCTAGAAAAATTTAAGTAAACAAAGATACTATTGTGGTAGATATATGTATTTATATATGTGTGTGTGTGTGTGTGTGTGTGTGTGTTCATACCCACAAATGTCTCCTCTCTAAATCTAAGATAGTGAATGAAAGAGATCTGTTATTATCTTCAATTTCTTTAATTATCTTAATTTCATTATCTTTCATTTCATTTCATTATCAATCCCCAATATCTTATTTTGGAATGAACTAATTCTCTTATGCAGTCTTTCGTATTCTCTAACAGGTTTGAACAAATATTAGGTCATTGGGAAAGTCACGATGCATTTTTCTATGTTTTTGTATGCAAAAATGTGTCATGACTTTCCCAAAGACCCAATATTAGTCCACAAAATTCCTACTTGTCTAACTAGCCTCTCCGTAGTCCCTTGACTCATGACACCGCATAGAGATGAGCATTAATGCTTACTAGTCAATAGGCATTACTCTGCCTTTCTCTGGTGGAAGCAGACACGAAATTGGTCAAGACTCTGCTTCTCCAGAGGAAGGACTAGATAAGGACGCATGTGCCCTCCTGTAAATTGCCAAGGAGATGATGCTGTTCTTTTTTGAAGCACTGCATGTACAGAGGCACAGGCTGTTTCTCATCCTTACCCAAGATTATAGAAAAATCTCTCAGGCTGGACATTGATAATGATCTATGACTTTTAGTATATGTGTGTTTTAAAAATTCCATATACCTTCATTCTGTATCTCTGTGTTGATTTTAATACAAAGTTGAGAGAAGATCTATCAAGGATTCCTAATCTAATACCTTTTAAATGTGAGAGTTCCTTTTCCCAGTAACATTAATTATGTTTAAAGAAACAATGCAAGGTAACATTTCATTTTCCAGGATAGCATACTGTATTTCATGAAATGCCATGTTATTTATAGTAAAAGGATTCTTTCAAAATGCCTTTGTAAGAACGACACACCATGATGATGGTTTAAAAAATACAGAACGTAGGGTTCTGCCATAAATTTGGCTTTAATATGCCATGATTCATCAAGTTTTGTTCTCCATTTAATATTTTAGAGAGTACTGCTTAGCAGTAAAGGAACTCTTCTGTGCAAAAGAATGGCTGGCAATGGAAGAAAAGACACACAGAGGATTCTACAGATCTGGGATGCATCTGTTCCCCCTGCCAGAATGCAGCAAGCTTCCCAGCATGCATTGGGACCCCATGGCCTGTACCAGACTGCCATATTTAGGTAACAAAGAGTTCTGCCAAGATGTTGGAGGTTAACAAAAATTTCATATTTTGAAGAAACTAAAGTGTGACTTTAACCCTCCTAATATTTCTAGGCATTTCTCTCTATATATCTTTTTTTATATATAACTTATGCCTCTTTTAGATACCTAATAGCAGAATCCTAATGCTATCCAAATTGCACAGGTTAGCATGAGGATTAATTTCATTTGTTCTAAAATAAAGGGCACTTTTAATTGCTGCTTGAGATGTCACCTTATTTCACAGGGGATCTTATGAGAGCTTGTAATATTTGCTGGAATGGCTAAGAAACATCGCATATTTTGTCAGAGGAGTGAAATAAAGAAATAAAGTCTTTCTGAGCTAATGAAGCCAATTTTTAAGCATGCAAAAGTAAGCCACATGTTTGAAAATGCTGAGCTGACGAAACAAAACTAAATTGCTGCATGTTGCTTTAATGAGCTTCGTTTGTGAGGAATTGTGTTGTTACCCTAAAACTGGTTTAATCTCAAAGATGCAATTTTTTCCCATTCAAATGCGAAGAATGTTTTCCAGTTTTATATTAAAAGGCTGAAAGAGAACTTGCATTTCTTAGCACTCTCTCACAGACTATATGAGATATCTGGATGCTCACTTATAAAAAATTTTTATCCTTTCCCCCTCAGATTATAAAAAAGAAAACTTAACAAGTAAGTAATTTTGTTTGTGCCCTTGAAGCCTTATATGTACGTAATTGGATTCATGCATGTGTATTTATTTACACTCATACTTAATAATGTTCAGAACAGAAGGTAGGGCCCCTCTCAAAGGCTTTTCACCACACTCATTCATGGTAGAACACAAGAAAGACCCAAGAGGTCTCAGTCCTAATTATACCATGCAGAGCCCCCTATTTAGTGAATGATACATATGGTATCTCCCACCTCAAAGTGGTTATCCTATTTTATCCCTTATATGTTTATAAAATAAGTCAAATCAAAGATGGTCACTTTTTGATTTCGCATTCATGATTTTATATTATCTGTAGGTGAAATATTCATTTCATTGAGCCAAGTCATGACTTTTATTTATGACAACAGATACTTTGTTTGGAACATAGGTCACTTTTTGTTTGGTTTTGGTTTTTAAGTTTTTGCCATAGGGCACATGCACTCACTAGAGAGAGAAAGTGAAATGGTCTCCTCAGGGAGGGTGGCCATGCCACAATCCCTTTTTCTTTATTCTCTTCCCAGGATTTTGGGCATTCATGCACATGTGCCTAGAGGGTTTTTCAAGCAGCTGAGTCCAGGTCTCAAACCATAGTCAACCAGGTAGGAATCCAGTGTCTTCACCACCATAACATCTGCTGGCCTCAGAAGATAGGTAACTTTTTAAGACAGTGAATTTCCAGTTAAAAATTTATAGGATCTATTAAATGGCTTTTAATGGTCATCATACAAGCTCTAGGACATGGACCAGCAGGAGGCATGGTGGTTAAGGGTGCTGGACTCCCACATGGCTGACCATGTGAATTCCAGGCCTGGAGGCTTGCTTTCTCATTTTCCCTCTCTCTCTCTTTCTGTGTGTATGTGTGTGTGTATGTGTGTCTTTCTCTGGAAATAATAATAATAATAATAAATAAAGTTAAATAAAATAATTCTTAAAAAAAAAAAATCTCTAAGAAAGAATTCAAGAAGGTTGCTTGAAAATAGATGTCCAAGAAATTTACTTTATCAATGGTGCTTTAACCTACTTTATCAGATGGTACTCATAACCTTTGTATGATGACCAGACTACAAAAATCCTCATTTAGTAGGAAATTAGGAAAGTTTCTACATGTAATGTACTTCCTCTGGTTTGTATGTTCCAAGTAGAAAAGATACTTGGAACATACATGGTTTGTATGTTTTCTACTTAGAACATACAAAATACATTCCAAGGAGAAAGATGTGCCAGAGATCACATCTTTATCACTTTTACCTCCTGTGACACGTACTCCATGCCGAATTTGTTCTGTATGTGGTTAAGTGACAGAACTTGATTTTACCAGTTTGCTTAATTCCTTGCCTTAAGGAATAAGGCTTAAAGTATTAAAAGAAAGAATGCTACTGGTCCCAAAGGAATCACAGAGTTGTTAAACAAGAAGAGACAAGGAAATACCTAAAAAATATGTTATTCTGAGAGGCTGTCAAGCTGGCATTTCTAAAATGAAGGATGCATAAAAAAAAGTCTCAAATCTTGGTCATCTAGGCAGCTGAAGTTTACATTGATTGGACTTTTCATTGATAATCGTGGTCTTGTTATCCTTCAACAGTTTTCTCATTCATCCATCAAGTACGCACTGAATGTTTACTTTATGGAAGGTCCTGACTTTAATCCACAATTAGATAGGAAACAAACACATACAAAAATCTGCGTTTCTGCCTTGGTTACAAAGAAATTTTGAGCAGCACAAACCAGCTACAGTAACTAACTCCCCAGTCTTTAAAAACAACAGTTTTAGGAAGTCTTTGATACAGGTAAGAAGATGAGCTCCTAATGTCAAGTTGGTCATTTCACCTGAACAGGTAATAGGGAATATTTGAAAGTATACTCCTGGGATTGAATGAAATTGGTACTTAAGGAAGTAGCTTTAGCTCTTCAAGTACTTAAAGAGTTGCCAGAGATCACATCCTACTAGGCAGTGCATTCCATATTCTACAGGAGTGTGTAAAACCCTCAAATATTTCTTGAAGAGGTTCTTGATTTTTGAGTAAACTCTAATGGATTCCTCACTTTCAGGAATGACAGAAGAAATTCTGAAAAGTATTTATCCTTGCATCATTTTCCTTTTATTGGAGCCCAGGGAGTAGAATTTTAGTAGCTTTTATTATTATTTTTTATAACTTCTCTTGCTGAAGTGGCATATCTTTTTGACATGGCATATCTTCGTATAACTACATCACTGTCTACAAAACAGGCACTGCACCCTCTCCTTTTCTGTGTGACTTCACGTGCTTCACTACAGAAACTCTCAGCAGTGATTCTGTCTTCTGTTCCAAAGCTTCTATGAAACAAAGTATAATCTTGCTTGATTGCTGGAATAATAACTTGCTATTCTCTCTAATTCTGTTTTCTCTTCCACCTTTACTTTCTGCATACATACATATATGGAAAATGAATAATACATCCCCAAGTCTAGGCAAACTGATTAACATGTTATGTCATTCTCTCTCTCTTTTTCTCTTTTCCTTATTCATGATAGAGCACATGTGTGCCCACATGAGAATAAAGAGTGAGAAATGAGCACTTTCTACAGGGTCTGGTTACTCCTCAATCCCCTTCCTCCCAATCTCCAGCCAGTAGGATCTTGGGCACTCACACACACAAGCCAGGCATGATTTTCAGGCCGACTAGGGCCAGGGATTTGACCATAGTTGCTATGTGGGATCTTGAGCAATGTTTTCCCTGCTCAAGAACTGGCCATGTAACTGGCCCAGATTATGTCTCCTAATACCCCCAACAACCCTATGAAATTATGTCCTCCATTTTACATGTAAATCAGCCTAAGAAAGAGAGATTAAACAACTTGCCCGAGTTTACCTAAATAGTAAAAGGTAGAGTCAGGATTTGAACCAAAATGTATCTTTTTCTGGCTCCGTCTTCAGAACCTACTTTCTTAATTGTTATACTTGATGTCTGTCAGTTATCATTATGCCTTTTTTCAGTTTCCAAGACTTCTTGTGTAATAAAGCATAACTAGTTGGCTTAAAAAATAATATATATGTGTATTTATATGCTTGTATATATATTTAAATATATAAATATATAAACATATTTAAATATATATATATACATACACACACATACACACACACATACATACTCACATGCATAATTTGGTTATTTAACCTATTCATTCTTGAATATATTCCACTACCTGATTACATTCTACTGCAATCAATTATTTTTAGGTTTATTTATCTCTTTCATGAGAGAAAGAGAGAGAGGGATACAGAGATATCATCACCCCCAACAAGGTCCCCATGCCTTAATCCACTCCAGCCCCAGCTAGTTCAAATCACAGGCACACTCATGCACACTTTGCACACACAGGTAGGCAATGGGAAAAGCTCCAGGACTCCCTTTGTGATCGCACTTGTGCTACTGCTGCACCACCAACAGGCCCCCAATTGATCTTTTTTTTTGAGAGAGATTTTTGCTATAGGGCATTTGTGCCCACCAGAAAGAGAGAGAGATAAAAAAGAAATCACCCCCCAACAGTGGATGACCACACCACAATCCCTTCTTCATTCTCCTCTCAGGATTTTGGGCATACATGCCCAGTGTGAGTTTCAAGCCACTGGGTCCAGGACTCAAATTGTGGTTGGCCATGTGGGAGTCTAGCAACGTAACCATTATGCCATTACTGGTCCCGCTAATCGATTCTTCTTACGAAAAATCTAGTTGAGGGCGTAATGGTTATGTCACTGGACCTCCCACATAGTCAATAGTGATTTGAGTCTTGGACCTAGTGGCTTAAAACTCACTCCAAGTACATGTTCTTTCATGCCCAAAACCCTAAGAGGTGGATAGAGGAAAAGGGACTGTGACATAGTCATCCTCTCTAAAGGGTGATTTATTGCTTTCTTTCTCTCACTGTATCTCCAGTAAGCACACACACCTAGAGCAAGAAATCTCTTTTTAAAAAGTGTAGTTGATAATTTTGTTGTTTATAATTTTAAATCACTCAAGCAACTCGATGATTAAACATGTTGCCAACATTTAGGTGGATGTTTTCTTTCCAAAATTCATTTTTCCATAATAATTGCTACCATTCTATCCAAAAGTGAAATTACAAAGACTTTGTGTTTGCATGTGTGTGTGTGTGTGTGTGTGTGTGTGTGTAAAATTTGTGAATTAATCAGTTGAAATGCTCATTGGGTGATTTTGTGGTGATATGAAATTACCCATTTATAAAAACTTGGAATGAGAAGTAACTTTAACAGTTGTTTAAGCCAAACTCTCTCACAATGAGTCTTTTCCAGAGCATCTTTAACAGAGACACTTCCTCTTCCCACTTAAATTTATTCCTTCTCTCCACTGTAGAATGCATTAATTACTAGAACATTTTAGTTATGTAGAACTAAATTCATGTTCTCTATAACTTTCAAAAATTGATCTTTGTTTTGCCTTTTTGATCCATCTTCTATAAAACAACCCTTAAAATATTTTAGAGGCAGATACCCTGTTTCCCTGTAGTCTTCTCCTTTTCACACTAAATATCTCTATTTTTCAACCTTTCCTTCCATGAGCTGACTTTGAAAAACCTTCACCTCCAGGCTTACCTCACTGGCTGATGTGAGTTTGCACAATGTCCAGAATTGAACCCAAAGCACACAACATAGTCTGATTAGAATGACTATGCAACCATTATTTTCTGTGATAAAGGAATTTTTCTTTTATTAGTATAAAACAAACTCATACTAGCTGTTTAATAATCATATGACCTTGATAGTTTCTTTATGGATATTAAGGTTTATTGATTTAGTTGAATTTGATTCCTAACTTAAATTTTCTACTAGATTGATGCAATTTATATATTTTATTAGTTTATTCTTACATTTGTAATTTTGCTTTATATACTTGACTGTTATGTTCTGAGGCATAGTGACTTACCCTCTTCTTATATTATGCCATTTAACCAATATAAAATGTCACTCTCGTTCTA